ACCCGGCCAGGGCCCTTCCTTCTCTTTTTCCTCCTCTGCCAACGGGAGTGAGGTGGAAGCGCGCCCCAGCGCAGGCACCTGCAGTCTCGAGTGGCGCCTCCTCCCGGCAGGGCCAGGCTGTTCTGGGACAGCCGCCTCAGGGCGCCGCGCCTCCCGACCTTTCCCAGCTGCCAGCGCCTCATGGGTCGCCGCCCGCCGCGCAGCCCTAAACCAAACACACCCTAAAGCCCGCCCTCCGCCATCGCCTCCCCGCTGAGAGCCAATCACAGCGGACGCCGGGCCTTAGCTTCTCTCCCATTGGTCGGCGGCTCACAAGCGGCGAAGCCGCGGCGGCACGCCGGACGGCTGACGTCCTCTGGCTCTGGCGCGGGGGACGTGTAGGACTCCCATCAGGACGCCGCAGTTCCTGGCGGCGGCGCGCGCCAGTCAGGTGGAGAGCTGGCCGCCCACAACTCGAGGTCTCCTCGGACGTCCTTCGTGCTGCCGCTCACCTGTGGGGAATGCTCCATGTTGGCCTCATCCCCACCGGGACAACGCGCAGTTCCAGTCATCCTCTCACATTCTCACGGTCACTCTCTGGACGTTCGTTCGAATTCCTCTTCCAGAGAGACTTAGTGGCCAGCGCCGGGCAAAGGTTTATCCTTGAGGCGGGGGAATGAATGCTCTCCCTTTCCTGCAGCAGCGTTCAGGTTTTAAATTGTATTCATCTGTGGTAGAGAAGCCAGAGATTTAAGCGGTCGTGGGCGTTGACCAAGAGCCTGAGCGGGAAAGATGGATAAAATACTGTGAGAAGAATGAACGACGCCGTCACTTAACCGAAGGACCATAATGGAGTCCTAATTAAAGGGTCTTAGCTTTATTTCGTTACTCTTTGTACGTGGGATACGAAAAACAAGCATAACTTTAGGCATAACCTGTGTTTAAAGGGAAAGTGGAAAATCCCGAGTTATTAAAGCAAGCACAAAATATCGGTCTCTTTATTAAAACAAAACAGAAGTCTTGGCATAGTTTTCAAGGGCAAAGCGTGACAAGAATCCCCAGTGCTTTCCTTCATCTCTCTCTGTAAGCCTCTTTCTGCCTGACTCAGCTTAATTGTATCCCAAGTCCTAACACCGCAGACCAAGCTGCACCATTTAAAGCAATTTTTCCTGTGCAGTATTTGCAGAATAACATCCTGCCAGAACCTCACAGAAAACATTTTTGAACTGTCTATTTTACTATAATGTAAGTTACGACCCATCTAGCTCAAATTTTTACCTGAGTTGGCAAATGACGCTTTTTGCAAAAAAAAAAAAAAAGATACTTTTTGCACTCAGCCACAAAAAATGACTACCAGATAGGACAACATACTAGTGAAGGAAGAGATCTATGAGTTGATTAATCTCTGAAGAAATGCAATTGTTGGTACTTAACAACTATCGCCTCACAGTGTGGTCCAGGAAGCACTACGAGTTTTGAGGATATTCAGGAGATCAGAGTACTTTAATAATAATGTTAAAAGTTTATTTCCTTTTCCAGTCTACAGACTACATGGTGTATGGTGGCATTATCACTTTAAAGGCTAAGAGAATTTGTGTATATGTTTGTGTTTAAAAACTTTCCAAATTTAACTTCTAATATGGCAAATAGGTATAACCCACACACACACACACAAAATTGTCCTCAATTACAGGAGTTTTGAGGCCAAAAACTAAGAACTTCTAATCTGCACAATGGAATTATCTAGTCGCCTAAACTCCAGCTGTAGTATCTACTTCTCATTCGACTATGGAGAGAACACCCGTGGTCCTCTTGGCAATTGCTTTGCGTTTACATTCAGTACCTTAGTAGAAGATAAGAGAGGAAGAGAAAAACAAGAGAGGCCTCAGAAAGAGAAGCCCACTTACTAAGAACAACTTTCCGTCCCTTCCCTGAGTCTTGAAGACCTGAATTGTTTTAATCTGTAAATCACTGGTTCTGAAATTTTTCCTTAGTATAAATCACTTAGGCACCTCAAATCCTCTGCAGTGTTGGGTTTTAAGAAATGGGAATTGTTCTTGAATTGGGTAGAAACTGTTATTATTTTTCTCTAAGAGGTCATGGCAGAATTCTAAGCCTGACACCTAATGACACTTGCCCTTGTACAGTCTGCACCCCTTTGAGCACGAAGTGGAACCCCTGAATTTGATGAGATAATACAGCTGATTGTTACGTTATATGGTAAAAGTGAGGCTATCCGGGTGAGCCCAGTCTAATCACATGAGCTCTTTAAAAGCAGAGAATTTGTCTACTGCTGGTAGCAGAAGGCGCAGTCAGAGATATCTGAAGAATGAGAAAGATTTGACATACTGCTGCCGGTGGGGGCTCTGTGCCAAGGATGTGGGCACCCTATGGCAGCTGAGACTGACTCTTGGCTGACAGCCAGCAAGGAACTGGGGATTTCAGTACTACAGTCCAAAGGAACTGAACTCTGCTAACAACCTAAAAAAGCTTGGAAGCGGTTTCTTCCTCAGAACCTCCAGATAAGAGCATAGCACAGCCAACAACTTAATTTCTGCCTGTCAGGCTTTAAGTAGAGAACCCACTCAAGCCGACCTGGACGTCTGATCTACAGAACTGTAAGCTAAATTGTTTTTGTAATTTTTTAAGCACCTAAGTTTCTAATAATTTGTTATGCAGCAACGGGAAACTAATACAGAGGTATATAGAATTTATCTTTTAAATTGAGGTAATATTTACATAATGCAGTATTATCCATTAACCAGATTTAAATGTACAACTCAGTTGTATTAGTATATTTGCAGTGTTGTGCAACCATCACCTCCGTCTAGTTCTAAGCATTCCACCACCCCCAGAGGAAACTTGCACCCATTAAGCAATCAGCTCCTATTCTCCCCTTCCCCCAGCCCCAGGCAAACACTAATGTACTTTCTGTCTCTATGGATTTAGCTCTTCTGGATGTTTCATACAAAGGGAATCATATAATACGAGACATTTTGTGTCTGGCTTCTTTCATTTAGCATAACATTTTCAAGGCTCACCGAAATGAACCTTGAAATGCTGCCTTTGTAGCATGTACCAGTATGTTACTGATTGGGTCGGGACTCTCAGCTTGAAAGCCAATACTTGAGGGGCATGTTTTGGTTGGGGTCGGAGGACAGGTGGGACTCGTGTCCAGAGACCAACTCCCCTCCTGCCAATCAGTGGGCAAGAGCTTTTAAATGGGAGTTTCCGGGGTATATAGGCAGAGGGAAAGGGCTACATGCAGAGCAGCAGACAATCATCTTGAAGTTCGTCCTGTGGTGGTCTGAACAGCAGCATCTTGATTGTTTTAAATACAGTTAATCTTCAGTTCCAAGGTTGGTTGGTTCCCATTTCTTTGAGGCCAGTTCTCAGAACTGTGGCAGCTTTTGTCATAGCTACAGCCTGGTCATCATGCAATTAACGTCTTCCACCCGGTGGGGCTTTCAGTATCTACAAGACACCACAAAGGATGTGGCTCAGAGTATTATCTACAGCCCTTGAGGAGGAACTAAAGGTCCTTGACCTTATTTAATGACTGAACTATTATCATTTTGTTTTGCTTGACCATTTCCCTTTGTTTCTGTATTTTCTTAATACTTCTCTGATTAAACTTATTCTTCGACTGAGTTTTTCTCCAGACAAGAGGCAGGTGGAGAACCCAGGCAGGGGTGTGTCTGTCCTGGGAAGACCCCATAGGGTCCTGCTCCATTTCAAGTACTCCATGCTTTCTATGGCTGAAAAATATTCTATTTTATGTATAGAAATAATTTTGTTTATCCACTTATCAATTGATGGACATGGTTGCTTTATTTGCTACATGAATAGCACTGCTATGAACACTTGTGTATGTTTGAATAGTTAGTTTCACTTCTTTTGGGTAAATAGAAGTGGAATTGCCAAATCACTTTGTAATTCTATGTTCAGCTATTTGAGGAACTACCAAACTGTTTTCCACAGAGCCTGCACATTTAACATTACCGCTGGCAATGTATGAGGATTCCAGTTTCTCCACATCTTTGCCAACCCTTGTTATTTTATTTTTTAAAAATCCATCATAAGGGTGTGAAATGGTGTCTCATTGTGGTTTTGATTTGCATTTCCCTAATGACTAATAATGTTGAATATCTTTTCATGCATTTGTTAG